ATTTTGATCTATTTTGAATGGCGTGACACTGAAAACCAGCAATAGGGCACTTTTTCCGTGTTTACATAGCCTCATCTAAACTCAAGGAGGGTTTGAAACATTCGAGACAGTTATGCAAACCGGAGACGTAGTGGAGGGTTTGCATAACTAGATTACGTAATACAATAAAACGTGCAGCTGATTCGCTTGCGAAAATGCTTCCTCGAGACGGTCATTTTACTTGTTTTTCTTTTGAAAACAATGCAGTCTTCATTTGAATAAAGGTGTCTAGGAGAGGTTGATTGTCCTGTCTATGAAACACAAGCTCACTGACATTCGTTCGCTGTGCTCGGTTGTCTGTTCTTCGAAGTTTCGCCACTCGTGAATAACATCCGTACGTTGCAAAACTGGCAGACCAGCGCATTGAGGGCGCTTATCATATTAGTGAGCTCAAGCAGTGACGACGGCGACGCCTTGGACGACGCCTAGTAAAAAAAAGAGAGATTTATATTTTACCTTCGAATTTCACAATTATCTAGATCTGTTCACCCCTCCAATCGATCTAAAAGCTTGCTCAAACTAAATATGTAAGGCCAGCAATCAATTCCTAAAGAAAAGTCGGAAAATTACACGTCGTGGCTCACGTTCTTCAAAATACCCAAAACTTGGTCATTTCACGTTGTTGTTTTGATGAGGACGGCTAAGAAATACACAAGGATTTATAACGCACGTGCACAGCCATTTTCGTGCTCATTAAATTTATTTGGTGACAAACTCGTTGCCGTTGTCGACGTGGTTTTGTTTAGCTCCCTTTTTCCTATCAGAGAGGGCGCATTTATCATGAACGGGGTGCTTATTTCGTTTTTCGACATAAACGTAAATGTGGTACAACACTTAAATGAACAACAACAGATACCGTGGGTAAAGAACTGTTAAGGTTTTCGTAGTCGTAACACCATTTTCGTGTTTATTCCGAAGTAGGCGTCATAATTCACTTGTCTTATCAGTCTATTTTATGTCAATGTCTGGAAGTAATATATCAAACACTGCCAATGGAGAAAAAACGTGGCAGGGAATCTGAGACGTGCTCTAAAGTAATTATCAGTCTATTATCAAAAATAGCTATCAGCCATTCTTTCAGGCAAATTGAAAAGGGGGTGGGGGGGGGGGGGGGGTTGATCTTGCAGTACAATCATCAAGTAACCTGTGTATGTAAAATGGCAAAGTCTATACCAATACCAAGAGATTAGATCCTAGCAAAAATAATAAAACTTAAAGTAGCAATTGGTTGGTAGTTCTTTGTGATCACGAGCTTGTTGAGAAAGCTAACGACAGTAGGTATACAAAGGAAGGTAACCCTAAAAATATTGAAACATTCTTCAACTTATAATTAGAAGATACAGGATCGTTTTGATCTTGCCACCTCAATAAAATTCATCCATCAAATGAGCCAAGGGTTATTCAGCTCATTTGGCGATGAAGCAGGGGGTGTTAATCTGGAGAGGCCACAAATCAGCTAAACTAAACTGCAATCAACTATTTGTCTATTTCATCAGTAACCTGTTAGAGTTATGTACATGTGTGTATAGAGTTTTTGCACTCACATGGCCAGCGGCCATGTAAATTTATTAGAACAACAGAAAAGGTTTACACAAAACAAGAGTTCCACTCCCACAATATTGGTTTGGTTCACCAACATTGCGGGCATTTCACTATTTTGGTACTCATCAATATGGCTGCTGCGACATCATGCGAAAACACTCTATCCCCTGGTCAAGTGGTGGTACTGATGCCACCTCAGGCATTGCTAGACATCACTTCGCCAGGGAACATAGGATAAACTATGTTCACTGATGAAATGATTGTTCTGAAAACAGCCATTAGATTTTTCAATACTTTATTCAGAATTATTGACAGTTGCATTCTACTTGGAAAAAATACGTTTCAAGATACAAGTCTGTGGATTGCAGAAATATCTAGTACATTCAGTGATACTATACTTACATTGTCTAATAATGCTACTTTGCAGTAATTCTTCCACCACTGTATTTTTTCTTTCAACATCAATGAAAAAGTGAGCATACAGTACAATCAATCAATCGATCGATCGATCGATCGATCAATTAAGCGATCAACCAAAGGATAGAAGCCACTCACCCGACCACAGAATCTGCTGGCCGTGGGCTACCAGACCCAACTTTGACTTTCATTGCACCTTGTGGATGAAACTTTTCAATAAAATTTGAATCAGTCAGGTTTTGGCTGTAGGAGCTAATGTCACTATTTTTATTTTAAAATTTCTTGTTGGTTGTTTACTGGTTACTAAGAGTTCATGAAGAAGCTAAGTAGCAAATTCCCTATTTAATAATGGTTTGTTCCCACTTTAGGAGAAACTGGGAAAATGTTCAGACTAGGATTTAACATTGGTACATCTTGTTTTGGCATTTCCTAAAGAGTTTCTTTTAGTACCTACGGCAAAGTCAAATGATCTCTTACTCTGTAAAAGTAAGATGAAAAGGGTACTGACAACAGATGGAAAATGAAATCTCTATTTGGATTGTAGTAGTGTTTATAACCCTATACTTTTAATTTTTAGAAACGGGAAATGTTGTTTTGAAAAATACGAACAAAATTCTATGTTGTGAATATAAGTTATTGGAAAAGACACGCATGCTTCTCAATATTAGTTATTATTTTGTTCTCTCAAACTTCTAGATAATCAGAGATGAAACAAGTGAATTGTGTTAGTTTGCTCAGCCCCTGTGATTTAATGAAGCCAGACTGTTTTTGTATTGGGCTACGTCGAAATTTCAGCATGGTTCCAAGTTCACATTCCAGCGGCTTTAAACAAAATTGAAAAATTAATTTTAAGCTATCCATGGCAGTCTGATAACGATTACCTTGCTGATTACCTCACTGATCAGTCATTCTACATCTAAAGTACATCTTGAAATATTACTTGAAAATGTGCTATAGTTTTCAAGTGTCATATCTTCAGTGATTAAGTAAGGTTGCTAAGTCGGCTTTTGTTGAACAGAAGGACTCCTAGCTCCGGTATCTTGCCAGTCATGATCCTTCAGGTGGATGCGGTTGTCAATGAATACTTTCAGGCCATTTTTTTCACATTCGTACCCGAAGATCACATCCTCTAATACACGAAGTTCAGGTCGATAATACACCTCCTTTGATTTCAGTGCTGCTAAGTTGAGAAACACAGCACTTTGCGGAGGTTTGCAATCAAATGGTAGTCTTGGTTTAGTGTCCCAACTCATGAATCGTCTTGGGCTCATGGCTGCGATAGGCAGGCTTTCATCTTTTGTGGCCTTGACCGAATTTTCTATACGTTCGAACGCAAGGCCAAATTTTCGTGGTTTGTATAAACCTCTGTTGCGTCTCCGCACAAAGTTAAATTCCCCACTGTTGCAAGGAGGTGGCGCATATTCGTAGAAGCACTCCACGCTGTCATCAATCATCCAGATGAAATGCAGCTTCAAGCGTAGAGCAATTTTCTGGATCCAGTATCGTGGATACCCTGCTCCGATTTCATCTTGTGGGAGGCAGATAATAGGGAACTTGTGCCCGCAGCAAGACGTGTACTCTTCAAACTCTGAAGGTCGTACTACCAGTAATCTGATGGTGGATTCCTGGGTCACGATGTTATCTTGGGGCCAATCTAACAAGGCAATCTTGGCCCGGCGGAAAGATGGTATAAAAATCCATCTTTTATCTTTCTTTTCAGGATTAATTTCTCTAATGCGTCTTCCTTGCTGATCATTATTTTTAAACCACTGTAATGAGTCGTCCGGCAGACACATCTTAAGCATGTATTCGCAGTCAAAAAACCAGATCTTTTGTGGTGGAGTTAACGAAAAAGCCTTGAAAGTGTCGTTATTCCCGTGATCACGAAGAGATGGCTGGTCTTGCGGCGGAACCTTGTTTTGCTTTTGAGCTATTTCAAGCACATGTGGGGAGAGCTTCGTATCTGTAGATTCAATCGCCTTCAACAATTTTGAATTTTTGTGTATTTTTAGTGAGCTTGGATCGATTTGCAATACTTCCTCTAGCTCTTGGCGAATCGATGGTCCTTTGATTTCATCGATAAATTTCGGAAGACTCGAATAGATCCTTTGGAGATCAACGGTTTTACTTGCGAGCCATTTATCTGGCACGATGCACACTTGCGACATGTCCATCCTCGTCTCCATCCGTTCTTGGCGCCTTGGTGTTTCGTTTTCCCACGGATGGTCTTTTAGCCATTCTCCATCTTTGTGCTCTGACACAGGTGACTGATTAGTATCCAAATTCAGTTTTGCATCGTTACTGTCACTTTTCTGCTGAAGTGTTTCGATGCCGTATGCCGTTTCCTGCTCTTCTTCATATTTCGAAAATGCAAGTCTCGAGAAATGTTCGCTTGAATCTCTGTTCCTGCTTGCAGAACTTTGATCTGTCTCAGCTTCACTGTCGCAAATACCGTGAGAAGACCCTTCATCTCTGCTTGCAACAGGTTTTCTCACTCTGCGTCGAGAGTGAGCCATTGTTGTAATTTGGACTTGTGACGAACTGTGACAATTCAAGTCACATTTAAGCCCCAAATCATTTACATCTCTGTAATTCATTTACATTTCCGCTTTCACTTTGTAGATCACTCCCAGATCAAGAGAGACTGTATCGTTTGCATGTATTGCATCAATTAAAAAGAATTTATGGCCATCATTGGGAATAAGCATGAGCCCATATCGTGGCGTCTTAGCGTACTTACTTTTATGATTCAGTCCAACCACTCTACAACGAACATCGAAACGACAGACGAACGTGTTTACATTGATTAGACAGGTGTCCTTATGATAGATGTCACAGACATGACGCCATTTTTAAAGGCGTTAGTTACTGTCGTTAAGTAAACTTATCTATTCTACGAAATGCAGTACGAATAATATTTGAGAGTTTGAGAATATCAGGAGCAGTGTAAGTCTTTAAATGCTCGAGCTTTCGTATGGCTACTCATTTATTATATGACAAAGAACACTACGAGGGCAAGCATTAACTGCCGGGCAAATTATGAATTATCTATAAATTTGGCTGTTCACAGCCAATCACAATGAAGTTATTGTCTCAATCAGACAATACGTTATGCTACATAGCACACAAAATTGTATTCTGTTTCGTTTTAGTCATTAAAAACAGTCCAACACATTGGCATCAGGACTGCACGAACAAATTGTACAAACTTCCATTAGGAATGTATATATATTTAGATGCATGGTACTGCGGTAAAAACAATCACTGACAGACAATCTAAGTCACGGAATGCCATAAAACTTTGAGCTGATTCGCTTGCGAGGACGCTTCCCCGAGGCGGTTATTTAACGAGTTATGCTTTTGATAGCGGTGCGTGTTAATTTGAATAAATTTTTGTGTAGGAGGGTTCAAATAAACAAACTCACTCGTTCGCTTAGTCATCCATTTCGCTACTCGTGAGTAAAATAACTGTAGGCTGCACTTTCTCTGAACTACTTTAAGTTATTATTCCATTTATCTCCCCGGGCCCTAATTTACTTTTGGTAACTTTTTGAAGAAAGAGGCGCTTGTTGGGTTGGGGCGGTTTTTTCTTTCTTCGACATAAACATTCGAATGAGATACAGCACTTAAATGAACCACTAACGGATACTGTAGGAAGAGAACTGTTAGGGGGTTTTCATAGTCATAACACCATCTTCTTGTTTATGCCAAGCTAATTTTTTAAAAATATTTCCACGTTCAGGTGGCAAAATAGTCTACATAACTCACTTGTCTTATCAGTCTATTCTATGTCAATGTCTTGAGGTAGCATATCAAACACTGCCAAAAAAAAAAAAACTCCTGTGGAGAAAAAACATTGCAGGGAATCTGGGAAGGAACCATAGGTCAATCTCCACAGAATAATTATTAAATCTAAAATGGCAGAGTCTATGCCAATCCCAAGAATTGGATTGTAGCTGAAATATTTAAAAACCGAACCTAGCAATTGGTTGGTATTTCTAAATAGGTAGTTTTAAATCTCTAGAATTGATGTGCCCTCAATGAGAACTTTTTGTTTGGAATATTTCCTTTTGTTTTACTTTGTGATCATTAGCCCGTTAGGAAAGTAAAAGAAGGTAGGTGTAAAAAGGAAAGTAACCCTAAAAGTATTGAAACATTTAGCAACTAAAAAATAAAAGACGTAGAGTCCTTTGATTCTGCCACCTCAACGAAACTTAGACAAAGAGAAACAACTAAAATAATCACATTGATTTAGTGTCAATGTAATTAACACTGTGGTGTTAATCGGATGCGGTAAATAAACAAGTAAATATTGTAGTTAACAAAATACAATGGAACTCGGTTTTTACTTCTCATTAGTCTAGAGTAGACGTGTCCATGGGATTTCCTTGCAATAAATGTCTATCCTTTCCTCTCATGTAGGACAACAAAATATTGGACAACAAAACATTGTTTTCAGATTGTTAAGAGTTTCCAAGTCTTTCAAGAGCCCACCTTCTTTAGACTTGTTAGTTTGGAATTTCCTGAACATTTCATTACTTACTGCCGCTCACTGTTTTTCTTCCACTTGCTTTTAACTGATGGACTGCTGGCTCCGGTGTCCTTCCAGTCGTGGTCTTGTAAAATAATGCGGTTATCCCTCTAAACTTTCAGACCCTTCTGCTCGCATTCATATCCAAATGTCATGTATATAAGTTGTTGTCACAATTTATTGAACATATGAAATAAATCTCAGTTAATCAACAACTCTTGTTTCTATTTTGAGCTATATGCTTTGCTAATCATCCATTGATCGACCTTGGATGACCTCACGTAAGAATCCTGAAAAGCACCCAATCAGAGTGAACTTTAGCATCTTGATACGTGCTTGCTAAATTTGGCCACTGTCTTTTGCTCTCACACGAGTGAGACTACAGTGCGACATTTTGTCCAGAATATTTTCTATTCCTTCCCACCCACCCAAAGCACTTGCCCACTCATAGGTCTTCGTAATAATATAGTTTGCCTAAGGGCTTTTCCAATCATCTAGGATATTTTGTAATYCAACTTAAATTGTAGGGTGACATCAGTTTTACACCTGGGTTTGTAATGTACACAATTAATAAAAACTCCTGGCATAACATGTAAATCTTGAGGGTTCAGGCACCACTTTTAGTTGTATTTAATAGATGCGTTAACTGTTAAGATGAGCAATAGGACTCTTACAATAAGTACCTCTTTTGAGGTTTCTTTGTGTACACTCGAATTAAAATTACCAAAACGAACATTTATAACTTTTAGAGCAATTACATACCACCTTTGAGGTGGTTTAGACACGAACTATAGAAACTAAGTACTTCGCTTAGGTTTGTTTATGTAGATTAGAACACTCTGCCAGTCCAGTAATAGATACTTGAGATCATAGTTCACAATTTATGCTTTCTTATATTGTTACCGTTCTTTGCAAGTTCTGTTTAGGTTGGTCAAATAAACACGGGAATGGTGATGCACACTCTTGCCCCCATAGACTCGATTTTCGGAGGCCAACTCCCTCCAATT